CAGGGCCTGAGCCCCAGCCTGAGACGCGAGGCCTGGAAGTTCCTCCTGGGGTACCTCAGCTGGGAGGGCTCCGCCGAGGAGCACAAGGCCCACGTGCGCAAGAAAACGTGAGTGGGGGGCTGCAGTCCCCGCCCCATGGGCTCCAGCCTCCCACAGTGATTGGAGGTTTTCGACCAGCAGGGCACCCGGCACGTCGCAGGTGCACACACGTGTGTGCTCCGCAGCTGCCGGTTGTGAGCCTGCCACGTGCCGGGCACCACGTGTGCACGAGAGGGACAGAGGCGGTGCACCAGGCCTGCTGTACTGGTCCACCCATCACGACTTCGCTTCCCACGCTGTGGGGCCCGCCTCTCCTCGTTCCTCGTGTGTGTTGTGCCCCTGCTGTGCGTCCTGGTCCCCACACCTGGTGGTGGCGACAGACTTGCAACCAAAGCCCCAGCGTGCACTATGTCAGGAGATGCCAGGAGGGGGGACCGTGGGGCCCTGCTCGGGTCTGTGTGGTCAGGGAGAGGCTCAGGGCCGAGCCCTGAAGACTGAGGCGGTGGCGGGGCATCCTGACGGGGTCTCTGCCACCCCGTCAGGGACGAGTACTTCCGAATGAAGCTGCAGTGGAAGTCAGTGAGCCCCGAGCAGGAGCGGAGGAACTCACTGCTGCACGGCTACCGCAGTCTCATCGGTGGGTCGGTGGCTGGAGGGCGCCCCTTTCTCCTCAGGAGCAGGGATGAGGTCATCTTGGGGGGAGATGGGGTGAGTAGGGGTCGGAGGGGCTGAGGACGGGGCAGGAGGAGAGGGAGCAGAGCTTAAATCCTCACTCTGCCCTCTACTCACCGTGAGGTCTCAGCCAGTGATTTTACCCCTGGGCCTCAGTTTCCCCGGCTGTGGATGGTTAGTGAGCGTCAGTGTTAGGAGGGCAGGGCGGGCGCGACCAGGCCGAGCTCCTGCACAGTGTTCGGGTGGTTTGGGGACCAGCCCTCACCTGCCTGGGGTCTGCTGGCGAGGAGCGGGGGTGGGTGCTCGGGGCCAGCAGGGATGAGGACCCTGGCACCGTCCTCACCTCTGCCCCGCTCCCTGTCCCCGCAGAGAGAGACGTGAGCCGCACAGACAGGAACAACAAGTTCTACGAGGGGCCCGAGAACCCGGGGCTGAGCCTGCTCAGCGACATCCTCCTCACCTACTGCATGTACCACTTCGACCTCGGTGCGGCGCCCGCGGGCAGGGCCGGCCCTTGGGGGTTGCCGAGGGCCCAGGCCAGGCCCTGACCTCCTGTCCCCGCAGGCTACGTCCAGGGCATGAGTGACCTCCTCTCCCCGGTCCTCTATGTCGTTCAGAACGAGGTGGACGCCTTCTGGTGTTTCTGTGGCTTCATGGAGCTGGTGGTGAGGCTCGGGGGTGGGGGAGACGGGGCCCCTGCGAAGGACTGGGTGCAGCCCCTCACGCGGGCCTCCCCCCACAGCACGGGAACTTTGAGGAGAGTCAGGAGACCATGAAGCGGCAACTCGGGCAGCTCCTGCTGCTCCTCCGGGTGCTGGACCCACCACTCTGTGACTTCCTGGGTACGTGTCTTGGTGGGCCGGGGATGGCAGGGCCACAGACGTTGCCCAACAGACTCTGGGGTTGAGTGGCCACGGACGGTGTCCAGGACATTTGGTCCCGATCCAAATAAGCATCTGGTATAACCCAGAACCCAAAACTTACCTGTGAGGGCAGGGGCGCAGTTTGGGGCAGACCTCAGTACAGGCAGGCGTGCACGCGCTGCTCCCGTAGGCCACTGTCAGTCCTGGACTCTGCTGAACCTGGAGCACACCTTACCTGCACCCCACTAGAGCCAGGGCTAGGAAACTGGTTCTCAGTATCCTGGTGCTGTGACTGCTGCATTCTGGCTTTCAAATGTTTCTCTGTTACTTGTTCAGTGGGAAAAGTGCAGGAAATTCAGATACAGGAAACAGTGGAACTTACTGTTGGTAACAGTATTCTTTTGCATACAGGTGATAAGTTAGCTTATTTACGGGTACTTCTTGACTGGAGTTCAGGCTCGCCCTGGGGAAGGGAGAGATACTGGCCTCACTTCACTGGGGAAGAAACGTAAGCCTAGAAAGCTCACGCCAGTCCCCTGGGGCACTTGGATATTAGCTGTGTCATTAAAAGGCTTTTTTTGGTGGTTTTTTTTTAAGATTTTATTTATTTATCTTTAGAGGGGAAGGGAAGGAGAGTGGGAGAGAAACATCAATGTATGGTTGCCTCTTGTGTGTCCCCTGCTGGGAACTGGCCTGCAACCCAGGCATATGCCCTGACTGGGAATTGAACCGTGATCTTTTGGTTCCCAGGCCCGCACTCAATCCACTTAGCTGCACCAGCCAGGGCCATTAAAAAGTTTTTAAACTCCATTGACTGCACAGCGTTCTACCTATATTAGCCGTGTGCAAGAATAGGTTTGGCCCTGGCTGTTGTGGCTCAGTGGGTGGATGTTTTTATTTATTTTTCAAAATTTTTTCTTTTTAGAGGGGAAGGGAGGGAGGGAGAGAAACATCAGTGTGTGGTTGTCTCTCACACGCCCCCTACTGGGGGCCTGGACCATAACCCAGGCATGTGCCCTGACTGGCAATCTGACTGGAGACCTTTTGGTTTGCAGGGGGAGCACTCAATCCACTGAGCCACACCAGCCAGGGCTATTTTTTACAGTTTTGAAAAATGTCCACGTGGCTGTTTTCCTAGAAAGTTATACTCACTTCCACTTTTGCTCGCAGTGGCCTTGCACCTCCACCCGCATTGGGTCCCTCCGCATGCGAGTGGGAAACGTGGGTTGGCTCACCTTGTCTGGGCTGTGGAAGGCAGGATGGGGAAGGTCCCAGCTGACAAGGCGCCCACAGCTCAGCTCAGAGGCCTTCCCACGCTGGCCACGAGTTCCTCGCCGCAACTGGTGGAGGGTCTCCCAGCCAGGGCGACTTAGTTTCTCAGACCGACCGCTGGGCTCGCTGTGCATTGGAATGGGATTGGCGTTTGATTTTGAGCTCGCCCTTGGCTTCTAAGTGCACCACCACCCCTCCCATCACTGTTCTCCCCTAGACTCCCAGGACTCGGGCTCTCTCTGCTTCTGCTTCCGGTGGCTTCTCATCTGGTTCAAGAGGGAATTCCCTTTCCCGGATGTCCTTCGGCTGTGGGAGGTGGGCCGGCTGGCCTGGGTGGGAGGCCTGCAGGAGGGGGGCAGGGGCCCTGGCACACCTCCGGTCGGACCGCGGGCAGAGGCTGGGCCGTGACCCCTCCCTGGGCACTCCTAGGTGCTGTGGACAGGGCTTCCGGGACCCAATCTGCACCTGCTGGTGGCCTGTGCCATCCTGGACATGGAGCGGGACACCCTCATGCTTTCGGGCTTCGGCTCCAATGAGATCCTCAAGGTGAGGCCCTGAGGCCTTCTGGTCCCCACGCTTTCCTTGCCCATGATGACCTGGGCAGACGGGACTCGGCCGCTGGCTGTGAAGTCCACGGAGGCTGGCTCTGTGTCACGGTTCTTTGCAGTGGTCCGTGCTCAGTATAGGCTCGTAAGTACGGGTAGCCCTGAGCCTGGCAGCTGTGAGACCAGCTCTCTTTCTCCTGCTCCATCTTACTCCCAGCGGTGACCCCACAAAGCATGTGGCCTGTGCATGAAAGGGCTCCCTGCGTAGTACCTCAGCCCGGCCAGCCGGCGGGGATACGGGAGTGGAGCTTAGTGCTCTTCTCCTTCCTGGTATCTTGCATCTGGAGAGCATGACCTCCCCTGGCCCCCAGCTCCCACTATGAGCCCCAGGAGGGCCATCCCCATCTGTCTTGCCTCTGTCGTGCGGCACAGAGTGGCGCCGGCGGCAGCTGAGTGCTGCAGGGCAGATGGGCCTGACTCCGCCTTCTCCCACAGCACATCAACGAGCTGACCATGAAGCTGAGCGTGGAGGACGTACTGAGGAGGGCCGAGGCCCTCTACCGGCAGCTGACCGCCTGTGCAGTGAGTGCCCCACCCCTCCCAACAGCCCCACTGCCCCCTCCCCCGACTCCTCAGACCTCTGACTTTCCACTCCCCTGCTCCAGGAGCTGCCTCACAATGTGCAGGAGGTCCTGGGTCTGGCCCCACCCACAGAGCCCCGCAGCCCCTCCCCTCCTGCCTCCCCACTGCCGCTGTCGCCCACCCGGGCCCCACCTGCCCCGCCCCTCCCCGCGGACACAGCCCCGCAGCCGGACAGCAGCCTGGAGATCCTGCCTGAGGAGGAAGAAGAGGAAGGCGCGGACTCCTAAGTTGTTGGTTGGCGGTAGCCTGCAGGGCATAGCACTTTATGGAGCTCCAGCCTCACCACGCACCGGGAAGCTGGGGGCGGAGCAAGAGGGCGGGGCTCCAGCCTGGTCTCCAGCACCCTCCTGATTACCTGACTTCATTAACTGACACTAATAGTGCCCCGTTGGTTTCATGTAGTAGGAAGGAGGTTGCCATGCAGCCTTGAGCTGGATAGAAAGGGGGTGGTATGTGGTCCCCTCTGACCACTCTGCAGAGCAGGTGTCTGACCTTGGACCCCTAACCCAGCCAATGAGATGCAAAAGGAGGCCTCTTAGGGACGAGTGGTGGCTGAGGCTTATGGAGGCAAGTCTCGTTTAACTGCCCGAGTTTGGGGCTTTTTAGAAGAGGATGGGGTGCAGGGGTGCAGCTGCCACCTGGTAGTTGTGTGGGGACACGTCCTCAGCATAACCGAGACAGAGGCTCCTACAGAGCTGCTCAGACACTCTGAGGAACCTGCCTACCAGCTTCTTGTTACTTGAGAAAAATAAACTCGTGTTTAACCCATTATCGGCAGGGCTTTCTGTTCCTTGCATCGCGCCCCACCTGGGTCGCGACAGTCCGGCCAGCTCTGCGGTTACCATGCACCCACCGGGGGTGCAAAGCAGCATCCGTCCGCACCCCGAGAGGTCCTGCTGCCCAGGCAGGAGGAGGACAGCTTCTTGGGCTCCGTGAGAGCTGATGGCTTCGCTCCAAGCCCATCATGGAAGCAGCTGCATCAGGGAGGGGGCAAGACCACAGGGCTTTTTCCGAAAATACTTTAATACCGGGTTATCTAGCCGGTTGTGGACTGCGCGGTGATATATACATCTGGAGCGGGGGCGGCCCCTCCCTTTTCAGATTCGCACAGGGTGTGGCTGTCCACAGGTGCCTCCGCCATACGCACGGACCCCACGTCCCCGGGCAGAGGTTTCTCCTCGCTGTTGATCAACACCGCGGCACGCAGCGCCGACTTGACGGCCGTCTCCACCCAGCCGTGCGGGTAGGCAGTGTGCTCGCCAGCAAAGTAGATGCGCCCATAGGGAATGGCCCAGTTGAACTCCTCCCAGGACTCCCTGTCGGCATCTTCCCCGAGCATCGGCGGCTGCACCACAAAGGCACCCTGGCTGTGCGGGTCATCCGCCCAGCGCTTCACAACACCGGTGCCGTCCCAGAGCCGATACACAATCGGCCCGTGCAACGCCGCCACGTCCTCAAGCGCCACCTGCAGCGCCTCTTCCAGGGTCAGGCCAGAGAAGGTGGCCGCTGCATCTGACCACGTGTAAGAAGCCAGGAGCAGCGCGCCCTCGCCCGGAGGCGGGTAGACGATCTTGCGCGAGGGGCGGTCGGTGTTGGAGTGGCCGCCCAGGATGTGCTCGTCGTGCCAGAAGGGTCGGCGGAAGCTCAGGAACACCTTGGTGGCTGGCATGTAGTGCAGCGCGTGCAGTGCCTCTTGCCACTTGCGGGACAGTGGCGGGGAGAACTTCATGCGCTGCAGCGCCGGCCCGCTCGCGGTCAGCAGCACCACATCGGCGGTTATAGTCTTCAGACTCCGGCCCCGGTGCGAGGTCCCTATGTGCACGCGCACCTCGTGCGTCTCCTGTGTTATCCCCGTGACGGGAGCGTGCAGCACCACCGGCACTGACAGCGAGCTCAGCAGCGCGCGCGGCAGCAGGTCCCAGCCACCCACGATGCGGCTATACCTAGGGACAGGGCGGCGGGAGCGTGACCCTGGCTCTCGAGCCCCGCCCCCTTCTGCGGACTGGGCTGGGCCCTGGGCACCGCCCGGCATTTCACCTGCCTGCTCCCTGAGAAGCCCACCCACTCGTCCACCACTGCCCTCTACTCCTACACGTCCCCCAAGGACCGGGAAGCAGAGAACTGTGTAACCCGGGTACCCTGCCCCTTCCTGACCAGGCCATTCTCCCAACCTTCCTCACCTCCACATGACCTGGGATGTGAGGGCGAGCATGGCCAGACCGAGGCACCCTCTCTCTCCCCTTAGGCCCCTGCGCCCTTCTCCCCAGCCCCGCCCTCCACAGACAGGCGCCCCGCCCCCTGCACTAGGTCGCTCCACCCCGTTGCCCCACAGGCCCCGCCCCTCACCGAAGGTGATCGCTGAGGCAACTGTGGGCCCGCAGGGCCTCTGCGAAGCTGAGGTAGAAGAAGCCATCCTTGGACATCACGTCTCCCAGGAGCTGCGAGGCGGCCCAGCTCAGGTTCCCCTCCCCGAGGAGGTATTCCTGGGATGCGGGCACATGCTGGGGTCAGAGCCCGGGCAGCCTGCCTGCACCTGCGCGTTTGGCCCCACTCCTAAGGGGACCCTGCTCAGCTGAACGTCCCCATTACGTGCCACCACTGTCCGCATGGTCCAGTTCCCTGGACCTTAGGGGTTTGGTCCCCACACCCTTTTGTGACAGATGAGAAAATGGAAGCCCAGAGATGGGGCATATCAAGCCCTTTGGTCAGGCAGCGGGGCAACGTCAGGCCAGAGTCCCAGGTTCCTGTCCTCTGACTTCCGGGCCAGAGCCCACAGGCACCCTCCTGGCCGTGGTTTCAGACAGGGACACAGAGGCCCCCACTCACCAGGAGCGTGTGACTGTCAAACTTCTTCATTGCCTTTCTGCAGCCCAGTGTCCTGACGTCCCTGAGGGCCTGCGGTGGGACGAGAAGATTGCTGAGCTGCGGGGCGGGGCGCCGCAGGCCGGGCCTGGGTTCTCTCCCTGCTCCTGCCCAAGGCTGGCCATTGACCACTCTCGTTCAGGCTGCCTGGCCTTCGCCCTGCCTGTGACCTCGGCCTTGCCCTCCAGTGCTACTCAGATGTCACCACTCTGGGAAGTCCTCCTGAGTCCCTCATGCCCCTCCTCTCCCTGGCACACTTGAGCCCCGAAGCGCTCATCCCAGCAGGGTGCTGGGTGCTGGGAGCTGGGTGCTACTTTGCCTGCATCTATCTGTCCTTGGCTCTGAGCTCCGTGCAGACGGGGACTGGGGCTGTCTCAGTGCTGTCATTCTGGTGCCCACTGTCTCCTGGGTCATTCTGGGCACAGACATAAGCAGAGTCCCTTCTGCTGGGCATGACCGCTGAGGGGGTCATTCACCAGCCCCTCCCCTGCCCAGGGCCCTCCCGTGGCTGCCCGGCACCTGGAGCCACAGGTGCCCCTCAGCCAGCATCCAAGGCCCCTGGTAGCCCCTTGGTCACCATCTCTTAAGGAGACTCCCATTCTAAGGACAATACCCAGTGCCCAGACCAACCTTGGCTCTCCCCCATTGCCACACCCCTACACTTGCCCCGCCCCCGCCTCATCTCTACCCAGCACCCCCTTGGCCTTTCTTCACCACCCTGTCCCAGTCTCATCTCCTCACTGCCTCTTCTGATTTCAGCCCTTTTCTTTGTCAGCTGGCTTCCCCGCCATGGCCATGGGACTCCCTGAAGGATGAGCCCTTCACTCCCTCACTCTCTGACACAGAAGTGGCCTGAACAAGGTGCCCACCCTTGTCTAGAAGGGAAGATGGACAATTAGGAGCTGCCAGGGAAGGGGGCGAGCAGCTCCTTCATGAGGGCATCTGGGAGGGCTTCCTGGAGGAGGGGGCATTGGTGTTGGTTCTTAAGAGATGAACAGAGCTCCCTGGGTGGGAAAGGGAAAGGGTCTTCCAGGCAGGGCAGGGAGAACGCAGGGGAGAGGAGGAGGCCTGAACTGGGGCCAGGGCTGTGGTAACAAAGAGATGGGAACAGTGCAAGGATGGGACAGGGTGGGGGACAGGCAGTGAGGATGGCACCTGGGAGTCCGTCCACCTTGTGCTTGGGGAGTGGGGGGTTTCCCACTGTGAGATGGGGAACCCAGGAGTATGAGAGGGTCGGGGAAGATGCTGAGTACCAGGGCCTTGGGGGAGGGTCTCCGGAGCTGGATGTGGAAGACAGCTGCTTGCAGGTGCAGAAAGGTGAGGCTGACTGGGACAGTGTGTGGAGGACAGGAGATCGGAGACCAAAGGCTGACTGCGCTTTGGGGATTGGCCGAGCTAGTGGGGAAACTAAAGGTGGAAGAGGCGGCGGCGATGGGAGAACAAGCACGAGGAAGAGAAGGACGGCCGGGCCACAGGGAGGCCGAGGGGGCTCGGGCCAGTGTGGAGCGCAGGGCCGCAGCCTGGGAAGGCGCGCCCACCTTGTTGAGAGCCATCTGGAAGATGGACTCCGGCGAGCGGCCCTGCTCCTGGGGGCGCAGGTCGTAGCCCAGCTTCTCGGGCATCTTCTCCACCACGTAGTTCCGCAGCTTCACGTCGCTCACTTGCGTCCACGCGTTCTCGTCGTACTGGATGAACTCCGTCAGGTTGAGTCCCAGGCTCTTGCAGAGCTTGTGGAGGATCCTGAGGGAGCAGGCGGAGCTGGTGCAGGCGCAGCAGCAGGGATAGGGGTCCCCTCCCCCCTCCGGGGCTTAAAGAAGGGAAGCGGGCGGGGGGGCAGCTGGGGAGAGTTTGGAGGTGGGCAGGAGGCTGGAGCCGGGCTGTACTTGGAGTCATCAGCGCTGGGGATGGGAATGAAATGGGAGCAAAGTTGGGAGCCTGGGGCCGTCCTGCTGTAGGACTGGGCTTGGAGCAACAACGGGCGTTCACTGGGACTGGATGGGAGCATGAGCGGGGGAAGGGACTAGGGTCGGGGAGGTAGGGCTGGGGTCCAGCTGGACTTCGTGGCCTGAGCACTGCCGGGGTACAGTGTGGGGGGCTGGGGTTAGGAGAACGGCATTGGAGACCGGGTCTCCACCTGACTTGATGGGGCGGGTGGGGGTGCGGGGACAGGTTTGGGGTCAGAGTTGAAGCTGAGGGGCGCTGAGTGGGGAAACCGGCCGAGTCCGGCCTCACCTGTGTGACCGGGGCATGCGCATGGCTCCCAGTTCCCCGATCCAGCCGGTCTTCTCATCCCGGTAGGTGAGGATGCGGCCCCCGATCCTGCTGTCCGCCTCCAGGATGGTGACCTGAGGGATGGCGGGGGACCTCAAGCAGGGCTCTTCCCACTGACCCCCATTCCCCACCCTGTGCCGCCCCCCACCACCCATCTCCACGGCGGGACAGACCCAGACGGGACAAGGGTCCCTTTCTTTATGGGGAGGTGGGAGGGCTGCAGGGAGAACAGAGTGTCACAGTGAGCGCGTACAATACGACAATTTCCAGACTGCAACAGGAAGGCCGTGGGCCAGATTACAGAGGGACTTCCCAGCTCAGGGAGGGGGAAATTTCTCATATGCCCCCGGCCAGGTTCAATTTTCTTTCTTGGGTTTCAGTGAGAGGGACAGTGATTAGACCTCAGGGGGCACTTCTCCTTGGGCAGAGTGTCCATCTCCACAACACAAATTCCCCCCAAAAGTTTGGAGGACATTTCCAGGGACTGCTCTCCAAGTGACAGAGAGCGGGACAGGGAGTTAAAGGCCTCGGGGTGCAGCGCAGGCTCCCTCGGGTTCGCGGTGGAGCAGGGGTTTCAGGCCCCACCCCCAGACCACGTGGAGGGAAGCACAGCTCCCACCCCTCCACAGGGATGTGCCCCTCCCGCTGCAGCAGGAAAGACTCCCAAGTAGACTGCAGACAGCACTTCTCACCTTGTGTCCGGCATCGCTGAGCACCTTGGCGGCCACCAGCCCGGCCACACCAGCACCGACCACAACCACCCTCTGGGGCACTAGGGTCCGGTTGAGGCCCAGGGTGGCAACCCTGAGCAGCTGCTCGTAGTCGGGGTCCTGCATGCACCTCTCAAAGGGGTCCTGGCTGTGGACGGCCTTCCACCACAGGGAGGCCACCAGAAGGATGGGGACCAGAGCGAGGAGGCGCCGGGCTGGGGAGGAGGACGGGGTCAGTGGGGATGTTGAGGGGGGAGCAGGCTCTGCACCCCCCAGTGCCCTCCTCTGCTTACTTACCCGACGAGGCCATGACTGTCACAGGGAGATGGTGTCTGGGGTGGAGGGGAAGCAAGGACTGCTGTGACAGGGGTCTGGGGCCCTCTCCCCCGGGGCCACCGCCGTCTGTGGACGTGCCTGTCCCCTGTTCTGCGCTCACCCGCCTGCCCTCCTCGCCCCACCTCTGCCCCCTTGTCTCTCCTCCCTCCTGCTTTTCCTCGTCCGTCCCCGCCCCCCCGTCTGTCTCTCCTGTCCCCTCACCTCCCTGTCTGTTCCTGGGGGACCCCCCCCCCAGCCTCCTCTGTACCTCGGCTGTCCCAGGACAGCAGCAGCACTGCTTGTCTCCTCCGCCCGTCTGCAGTCCCCCGTCTCTGTCCTTAAACCAGCCCCGCCCCCCTCCCAGCCCTCCGGGAAATCGGGCTGCAGGGGAGAAATGAAACTGCCTTCCTGGGTCCCAGGGTCCGGTGGTCAGAGTTGAACTGAGGCTGGAGGGAGAGGACCATGGGGCAGGGGCTCAGAAGGAAACCGACCGATGTGATTTCCTCCCGCCCCAAATAGTTCTGGGGTGGGAGGGCCGGAAACAGCCTCGAAATGACCCATCGGGGGTGGCCGGGCGGGTGTGGAGCAGGTTCCCTGCATCTGCCCTCTCGGCTCTCGCGCCTCCTTCCTTCTCTGACAGGGAGAGGGGCTCTCCGGCCTTGGGGCTGCATGTTCCCTGGGACAGCCTCCGAACCCTCCCCGTGCCAGCTGTTGCTGTGCCCTGAGCGGCACGTGTTGTCCCCCCACCCCCAGACAGGGCCACTCTGAGCCTGTCTCTGTCTGTGCAACAGGCACCCCAGTGGGACTCGCAGGTTGGCGCCTCCCAGCCGGGGACCCCTCTGTGCCTACGGTGTGCCGCTGTCGGGTAGCGGGTTCAGCACTGAATCCAGGTCAGGCCCGTGGCTGCCCCCGGGGCAGCACCAGAACCTGCTCCCTAGGAAATGCCAGCTGCCTACCGCGGGGACGCTGGAAGGGACCTGCCTGAGCCAGCGCCCTGGGCGCTGCCGGGGAGCAGCCGCAGCGGGGCGTGCCTGCCCCAGGCCTTGGAGAGCCACGGTGGGGCCCAGCACAGCCTGGAGCACGGGGGCACCCCCGAGAAACGGCCGCAGCTGCCTGGCCACCCCCGTCTCTGGGGCACTCTTCTCCTGGGGGGGGGGTGGCAGCAGTAAGAACAAGATGACTAGGCTGTGAGGAGCGCCCCCCACCACGGGGCAGCAGGGGTCTCGTGACCTGACCGTGGGGCTTTGTCAGGGGGACACAAGGCCATCCTCCTGAAGTGGGTGGGGGTGGAGAAGCCATTGGGAGACCTGTCGGGTGGGAGGAGAGGGCTCCAGGCTACAGGGGAGAAAGGCAGCAGCAAGACTGGAAAGTCCGAGCAGCAAATCAAAGAGGGATGTGGTTTGATGGGAGGCAGGGGTGCATGCGAGTGAGTCAGAGGCGTATGGTGCAGGGGTGAGGGGCAGGGAGGCAGCGGCCAAGAAGGAAACAAGATCAGTGAGCTGGACAGAGCTTGGAGACGGAGCAAAAGCAAAGGGCACGTCAGTAAAACAGGAGCGACGGGGACTGTCCCCAGTGACACCCGCTCTGAGGTGGTCCTCGGCTCAGTGCTCGGCATTCACTGGGGACCTCACAGTGCTGCGTGGACAGAGGAAGGGACTGAGACTCAGGGATGGCGAGTGGGCATCTAGGGGAAAACCCCAGGACCTGCCCAAGGCCTCGGAGCCGGGGGCCCGCCAGCTTCCCGCAGTGACACGGGGGCTTTGAGCGCCACTCGGGCTAGACCTCACTCGCAGCAACATCGGCTGTGCCTGGAGCATAGATTCTCCTCCAGTCCCAGACACCCGTGAGGGACAGGACGTGGCCCACAGAGGGGCAGGCGTCTGTCCTGGGTCCCACAGTGGGAACAGGCAGGGGTCCCAGTGCCCTGGGGCTTCCTGGCAAAGTCCCCCACAGAGAAAGGAAGCAGAAATAACGTGGAAGCAGAAAGGGGAGGAGGCAGCAGACCCAGGGGCTCCCAGACCTGGAGCATCAGTCCCCAGAGCAGCTGGGGGGGGCCCTGCTGGGGTCCCTAGGCCCCCCACCCGCTGGGCCTTTCCCACATAGGATTGCTTTCCAAAGTCCCTCCGGCTCCAGGCACACCCCCAGGTCGCCTCCTGGACTCAGGAAGAGAAATGGAGAGCAGGCTTCGCCCAGGACACCTGTTCAAGAGTCAGCAGGGCCGAGGGAGGGAGGGAGGCAGGGCAGGACTCAGGAGGCTGCCCAGAGGGGAGCCAGCCTCGTTCGCACTGAGGGCCTGAGAGCCAGGCCCTGCCAGGGCGGGGCCCGCCCAGTCTCCTTGCTGCTGCTGAAATGACTAGAGGGGCTGTTCCGTCCCGTGTGCAATACTTTACAAGTGTCTTCTTTTACTCAAGAAGCAACTCGACCAGGGGGAGGGACCGCCAGTGTCCTCACTCTACCGTGTACAAAACTGAGGCCCAGAAAGTCACCCACTAAGAAGTGACAGAGCTTGGGTTTGGTCCCAGGGGCCGAGCTCCAGCCCTGTTCCCACCGGCCCTGCAACCCAACACGCTCTGGCTGGGGGACGAGGGGCAGGGCGAGGGCAGGGTCCCTCCACCTCAGCACCGGTGCCGTCCGCAGCCCTCTCTGTGGGGGCTGCCCTGTACCCTGTGGGGTGTTGGCACCGTCACTGGCCTCAACACACTAGATGCCAGCAACACTTGCCCCTCAAGCTGCAACAACCCAAACACCCCTGGACAGTGCCTTCTGTTTTCTAGGGTTAGGCTGTAGTGGGTGGGACTCCCAAGTGGCCAGATATGGTCCAGGATGGAGACCTGCGTACAGTGGGCAGGAGGGCGGCATGGTCTCCTGGTGATCGTGAGCCACGTGGGGACTGCTTTGGTGGGCTAACTGTACCTTCCGGAGCCATTGCCCATAATGCCATTTAAGCTTTTAATTAGGCTTAAATGTAGGGTGTGGGTAAGGTGGGATGGTTTGGAAAAAGGATTTCAATGAGGTTAGGTTTGCTAAGCTGGTGGGTAGGACAGACAGACAGACACACAGACACATGGTGAGACTTGGGGGTGGGTGCGGTCAAACGGAAAGGCCTGGGCTTCCCCGCAAATCATGTACATCTGCTTCAGTTAATTTCGGATTAGTCCAGCTTCCTGGTGGAGTTTCTAGACGTCAGTCCTTCCAGATAAAAACCGTCTTTAAGGGGAAAAACCCTTCTAGAACCACGCAGATGATTCTAATGGGGTAAGGTCAAGTCCAAAGCAGCCAGAGAGACCTGGCCTGGCCCCTGGGGACCTCTGAGCCTCATCCAGGCAACTAATGGTGACGGTGGCCACAGAGTGTGGGGGACAGGGCAAGTGCCTTACGTGTGTCCTTTTCCCCGAGTTGGCCCAAAGACCCTGACTGCCTAGTGCGGGGGATGCCCAGGGCCCCAGGCCGAAGTCAGGCCTCCAGACCTGGGTCGGGGAGGGGGACGGAGGGCAGAGGGCAGAGGGCAGAGGGCAGCCTTCCTGAGGCCCTCATGTCTGGACGGGGAGACCCTTCTCTTGGAGACCCCCCCCCGCCCCTCCTTCCCATTTCCAACGCCCCGGGGCCCCGGGGCACACTCACTGCATGGCTGGGCCTGGGGGGCTCTCTCAGCGCCCATGGCCTTTCCGGTTAGCCCGGGACAGAAGTCATCGTCGGGCGTGTACGAAACCGGGGCGAGGACTTGTGGCTCTGTCCTGTCCTGATCTCCGTTAGACTAGTGGTGCCGGGGTCCTGGTGTGGGGTCAGAGCGGTTGGGAGGCTGCAGAGGGCGGGCCTTCCCTTCTCGAAAGCTTACTTTGGGAAATTAAAAGCATGTATCAGATCAGAGAGACTAGGACGAGGAACCCAGGTGCCTTCACTGCCTCACAGCCCCGTCGTGTTTCATTTACCTTTTCTCCCTCCCGCACTGAATTATTTTAAAGCGAACCCCAGTCATACGATTAATTTGTACTTAAATACTTTTGGTGTGTTTCTGTGAAACAGGAGTTCGCAAACTTTTCTGTAAATATTTGAAGCCTTTAGGGCCGCGGACTCCTTTTCACCTCCTCAGCTGTCCTCCGAGCGGTGACAACTATACATGGGTAGGGCCTCGCTCTAACAAAACTTTATTCATAAAAACAAGAAGTGGGGCCTCAGTTTGCCAACCTCTGCTCTTAAAAGGGCTTACTTTTTAAAAAATAAAACTACAGTACTTTGATCACATTTCAGATGTCATTAAGTCAATCTCTACATTTCCCTGAATGTCTCCAAAAGTGTTAACTGATTTGAACCACGATTCAAGTAAGAGTTCACACATGGCATTTGAGTGATATTGTCACTTTCAGTTCAGGGGACTTGGGGTCTGTGTCCTTAGAATGGGGGGGGCGAGCCTGATGTGACCTCACTGCCCTAGGCCAGACCTGAGCCCATAGAGCAGTGCAACAGCCTGGTTTCTGCCTCAGGGAAAACTTGGGAGCTCATGGGGCTGAACCCAGATGCAGGCAAGGTGTGCGGTGCCCGGTGGGTCCCTGCGTGAGGTGAACACTGCCAAGGCGAGAGCTGTGGGTCAGGCACAGGAGCAGCTGGGGACAGTGCAGCCCCGCGGGGGGCTGGCCGGTGTCCAGAAGCAGACCTGGCTTCTGAGGGTGAGGGATTTTGTTCCAGGAGAGTCCTCAGCCGCTGGCCCAGGGCCAGACTCCTGAAAGCTCTTAGTTTCAAGGGAGCCGTGATGTGCTGGAGCTGGCCCGTACCAGTTCAGGAGTCTACTGGTTAATTTTCGAGATCTTTGGTTTGGATCTCAAGCCATTATTAAAAAATTATAAACATTCGCAATTTTATAAGGACCCCCCCCCCCGCATACTCCACATTCTTCACTTCCTAAATATTTGCTTCCATTTTACAATCGTTATCTGTACAGCATGCATCAATTTCCCAAATCCGTGTTGGGTGACTCCAGGTTGGTGGCCCTGAAATTGGCCACGGTGGAACCATTCACACCGAGGCAATTGTTACACGCTACCCGTCAGGGCTTCCCCCGCCCTGGAGACCGGCCTGCTGCACACTGCTGACCCGCACACCACCGCCTGGGAATCCCATTTCGGCCTCACCTAGGAGAACGAAGGCTGCTGTCCCTCAGGAAATCCCTGGCTGTTTGTTTCAAACACCTGATCGGTCCCCAATCCCCTTGACGGCAAGCTGTGTCCGAGGCTGGGGCCTCATCATGGGGAAGGGGCTGGGCCAATATCAGCCCAGTCGTTTGGGGGTTTGAGAAGAAAAGACAGCCACAACCATCCGTCCAATCACCACTCATCCCTAACCAGGGAGAAGAAAGGCAGTAGCAGCTCAGGAGGAGATTCACCTTTACTCAGTGGAGAGGAATTTAAGCTGAGGCCATTTGTCTGCACTGGCGAGGAAGCCCTCTGTTTTCCTGTTGGAAAGGAAACGCGGAGTTACATCGGAGCGTTCACCTGCAGGGTGGCACCCCGTCTGCTGCTGCCCCCACTGCAATCCTGGGGGCCCGGGAGGCCCGCTGGGGCCACCCCCCCCATGGCACTGGAGCACTGGAGATGTCCCTCCAGCATGGCCATGGTCCGATTATAATTGCTTGTTCTTCAAAGGAGGTGTCCACAAAACTTGGGGGTGTGGGGAGAAAAATGGAACATTAAAAAAATTTTTAAATACAAAAAATTTACAACTGTGAGAAAGTTTTAATGTGCAAAATAATAGGTATATTATATACATTGGGAGTGCAAGTTCAAGAAAAAAAATTTAATTCTTTAAATTTATTTATCTTTAGAAGGGAAGGGAAGGAGAAAGGGAGAGAAATATCAATGTATTGTTGCTTCTCATGCGTCCCCTGCTGGGAACTGGCCTGCAAATCAGGCATGTGCCCTGACTGGGAATCGAACTGCAATCTTTGGTTCGCAGGCCCATGTTCAATCCTAAGTCCAAAAAAGCTTTTATCTTTAAGATTTATTTTAGAGAGAGGGGAGGAAACATGGATTGGGTTGCCTCTCAGGGCTCCAACCAGGGACCCAGCCTGCAACCAGGAACCCGACCAAGATTTGAATTGGCAACTTTTTTTTAAAAGATTTTATTTACTTATTTTTAGAAAGGGAAGGAGAGAAACATCAATGTATGGTTGCCTCTCGCGAGTCCCCTGCTGGGAACTGGCCTGCAACCCTGACTGGGAATCAAACCGCGATCACGTGGTTCGCAGGCCCGCGCTCAATCCTCTGAGCTACACCAACCAGGGCAACTTTTTGGTTTTGTAGGACAGGACGATACCGAAACTACTGAACCACACCAGTCAGGGCAGGAAATTTTTCCTTCTATTAGCTGTGCAGCCTCTGCCAAGACCTCCCACACGACAAACTTCCTTTTTGTAGCCCCTACGGCCAGGTCAGGGTCTGTTATGTAGCAGGGGCTCCGCAAATGGACATGAAATGAATAAATGTGGGTAAAACTTGAACCGCTCCCTACTTTCTAGGGGGACCCCAGGCCTGTCCCTCTGCCTCCTCCCCTCAGGTGGAAGGAGGGGTCAGATGCGGGTCACAGATGAAGTCAAGGCTCACGCATGGCACAGCGGCCAGTGCCGCAGGGCGCGGAGTTTGTGCACAAGCCAGTGGGGCTGCTGGGGCCTCCGTCCACTCGCTTTACCTGGCCCTCACCCAACCCGGCCCCACTCCTCCGGAGAGGAGTGCTTCCCACAACGATCCGTGGCCCTGAGCACATCGCCTCCGACAGGCCCTCCCTCGTGCTCCTCTTCCACCGTGAGCATCAGCGGACCCCGAGACTCGAACTTGCGTGCATGTGAGTGTGTACACGATGGGCTGTTCAGTCTGCCTCGTTTCTGAGTTGTGGATACACAGATCCCCACCTCACAGTCTTCTGGAACCTGCTTTTGAACCCAGCTTTCTCCTTTTAAGTGATCCACATTAAGAGCAGCTCGTATTCTCGTTCCACAGAAAGTTGTATTTTATTGAGGAAAGCAACATACACATACACACATACAGGTCTAGGTACTTCAGAGCGCAGCGAGGTGTGAAGACAAATGAGACAGACACCCGGGGTACAGCTGGTTGGCTTCTGCCTTCTGGACACGGTGGGTCTCCTTGTACCTGACTAGGCCGGCTTTGGCATCAGGAAGTTCAGAACCAAGTCTGTGGCCGCCTCCACCACCTTTTCAGCAGGCATTTCATGGATTAATGTTTCACGCTGGGTTCCATTTCTGTTGTTCCTTTGTTTGATAAACATGACAGGGATTGTGTGAGGACACCAAGGGGAGCGAGACACCCCTGCCCACAGGGGCTCACAATCTAACAGTGAGGCAGAGAAGCAAACAGCACAATACGAGGTGGCAAGTCACCAAAGGCGCAAGCTCTCTGTGACCTGGGGACTGCAGAATGACCATCTGACACAGCTTTGGGGTGGTCGAGGTGAGGCCTAACAGAGAGACCAGGAAGCCAAGGTGTGTCTGCCAGGCAACACGAAGACCCCCTGTCTTGAGTCTGACTCCTTTTTCAACACCTCGTTCAAGTCCCTCATCTGACCTGTCTCCTGTAAAATTCACTATCATGCTGCCTGTTCTAGTCATGTGTCACTTTGCATGGATGGCGGATGTCCACGTGTACACATCTTAGACCAACCCGCTGTCTCCCTGCTTCATTCCTACAACTGTGTGTTACACAGAAAACGGCCCAGGGAACCCTGGTGGGGAGACGCAGGGCTCTCCGACGAATGGGCACTTCTCCAGCACCCAGCTGGGGCAAGCAGGACGACGTGAATGGCTGCAGGGGTGGAAAGGGTGGGGGACACGGAAAGATACAAAGACGGCACACCTCCCGGCGGCTGCCCCGACCAGAGCACTCGGAATACTTCCACTTGTTAATGTGAAACATCAAATCACAAAAACAGTTCTCTCAACAGCACAATTATTTGAAAGAAACAGACCATCGAACAAGTATTTCATCACAAACAAAAGCTAGACAGTAACTGGGCACCGCTCCCCCCCCCGCCCCCGAACACCCTGGGAACCCGCGGGCCCCGCAGCCAGCCCTGGGCTCAGTCAAACGTGATGCGGAAGCTGCGCTCCTGCTCCTTGCGCCGCCCCTCGCACACCTTGGTCACTTCCTCCACCTTCCTCTGCAGCAGGGCCGAGTTCTGGTCGATCCACTGCAGGGAGTCCATGTGCGCGTTGAGGATCTTGCAGATCTGCTGCAGGGGGTCGCTGGTGTCGGCAGGGCCGCCGGACGTGTTCAGGTGCTCGATGATGTCCTTGAGGTCCTGGGCCATGCGCTTCAGCTGGGCGTCGATGTTCTCGGCCAGCTTGTAGGTCTTCTCGCGCTCCTCGTCGGCGTGCTGCAGGTAGACGGTCCCACTCTGCTCCTTCACCGACTCCTCCAGTGGGCTCAGCAGGTCTTCCAGCTCCTTCTGCTGCGACAGGATGAAGTCGAGCTCTTGGTCCAGCCTCTTCTGGTCCAGCTTCACCTTCTCCACCTCACGGTGGAGGGCAGTGATCTTCTCCCCATTCTCGATCAGCGTGCGGTCCCAGGCGTTGACCTGTGTGGCTTGCTGCAGGAAGTGCCGTTCCTGGTCCTCCAGCTCCAAGCTCCACTTGTTGATCAGACTCTCCAGCTGGGCGTAGGTCATCACTGGACTGGTGGACACCCCACTGGCTGCACTGGGGCCAGACGGAGCAGTTATGGCAGTGGGCGCACTGCTGGCGATCCCGGCTGTTGCCAGGGGTTTTAGATTCAAGGCAAAGCTGCTGCTGGTGGTGGCGGTGGCTGTAGCTGCGGATGTGGTAGAAGGGGCCTTTAGGCTGAAGCCCAGCGCTCCAGTCCCAGATGTTCCAGCTGTGGTTGCTGGGGCACCAAGGGAGAGCCCGGTGGTGGCAGACGAGGTTGGAGTGGTAGCCAGTGAGGCAAAGAGCGTGGGCCCGGCACTGGAGGTGGCAGCAGTGGGTGCGGGAGCAGCTGGCTGTGTGGCTCCCACTCCAGTGGCTGCCGGTGTGGCTGGGGTGAAGGCCAACCCACCCAGTGTCGTGGGCTGGGTCGAACTCCCCATCGAGCTGATGTTGAAAGTGGAGGTTCCCCCGGTCTGGGATGTGCTTCCACCTGTGAATGAAAAGCCCCCGGGTGTGCTGGATGGTGCGGCAGAGGTGGTGGTAGAGCCGAACACAAAGCCGGTGGGTGCCGTGCCCTGGCTGGAGGTGACGGTGCTTGAGATGGCATTGGTGAGGGTGCTGCCCCCAAGCCCGAAGCCACTGGGCTGTGCTGTGGCTGAGGTGGCAGTCGCATTGCTCAGGTTTAGCTTCGGAGCGCTGACCCCTAAGGAAAACCCAGTTCCTCCTGCCGCAGGTGCTGTGGTTCCAAAACTGAATGCAGAGGTCTGTGCTGCTGGCGCTTGGGTCGTGAGTGAGAACAGGCTGGTAGACGGGGCGCTCGCCGAAGGCTGGGATGAAGTCCCGAAACTAAACCCACCAGCGCTGGATGAGGAGAAAGAAAAGCCGGTGGCAGGGGTGGTTGTCGCCGTCTTTGCGGTGCCAAACGTGAACCCGCCTGTGGGGGCCCCGCTGCCTCCGAAATTAAACCCGCTCATGGCTCCCGACTCTGGCGGCAGCAGCTACTCCGGCTCCCAAAGCCAATCCGTCAGGGTCTGCAACCTTGGGGAGATTTTTAAAGCAGAGGAAGTGACATGATCAGATGGCAGTTTTGGAAAGGCAACCTCATTGGCACGGTGCAGTGCGGTGGGACTGGACAATCCTAACATGCGGCCACTCCCTCTTCCTAACCAGGCCCTGCCAACTATGCCAGGAAAGAAGGAGCCAGCAGGGTGGGGGAGGCATGGGGAGACAGAGGTGCCCGGGCTGTGCACTGCCCTGTTCAGCACCAGCAGGAGCCCCGCTGTTGTGGGGCAGGCCAAGAGCAGGCCCTGCGACTGACCTCAGCCAGAGGAGTCAGGCAGATTCGAGGAGCTTCTGGCGAGTGAGACCAGAAGCACACCAAATGACACCTTTAGGACCCACTCCCCAGGTTTCCTTGCTGACTGCAAGCGGGAAGGGGCCTGGGGATGCTCCCTTGAGCGTGCTTCTTAAAACGGGCCCAGAGAGGGACAACTGACTGGAGAAGAGGCCACGAAATGATAGAAGCAGAGATGGGAGTGATGCACTTTGAACTTGGAGACAGAGAAAGGGCTCCGTGAACCAAGGACTTCAGGTGGCCTTCAAAAGCTGGGAAAGACCAGCACTGAAATTCTCCCTGCAGCTTTGGGAAGGAGCCACCCCCACTGACGCCCTGCTTTGGGCCCAGTGAGGCGAATTTCAGACCCCTGATCTAAACTGTAAGAGAATTGGCATGTGTTGCTTTAAGCCCCTGAATTTGTGATGATATGTGAGAACAGCTGCAGAACTAACACAGCTGAGAGGCAGCAGGTGTCTGATAAAAGTGACGGGTGACCGACCTGGCAGCTCCCTGGAACTGATCTCAAACAAGGGACAGCAAACCTCTGAGGCTCAGTTCCGTCACGAAGGCTGGTGGCAGCTACAGCGCTGAGGTGCGGCTGACAGCAGAGCACCAGTGGGGGTGCTCCCTGCCACCACCGCCGCACAGGCACCCCCCACACTGTCATTCGGGCAGAGCCCTGGAAGCCAGTGAGGGAGGACTGTAGGCACGAGCTAGCCCAGCAGCAGGGCCCGTGAAAGCCCAGCTGTGGCTGCAAGGCGCGAAGTGCCAGTTCCGGTGCAGGGAAGGGGGTTTCCGGGGCGGCTGGGTGCCTGGCCCCGTGCTACGGACACTCCTCAGCTGGCTCCCCAACCAGCCTGCCGAGGCGGCTGGGATCCCGGCCCGGTGCAGACAGGGGAGAGGGACTCAGATTGTTTGGTTTGCAGGCCTGCACTCAATCCACTGAGCTATACCAGCCAGGGCTCATTTTAATTTTTGTTTAATTGATTTTACACAGAGAGAGGAAGGAAGGGGCAAAGAGAGGTGGAGGGAGATAGAAAGAGATAGAGAGAGAGGTAGGCAGAGATTCATTGTTCTGCTTATTTATGTATCCACTGGGGATCAAACCCACAACCTTGGCACACCGGGATGATGCTCTAACCAACTGAGCTATCCAGCCAGGGCTCTCCCACTCCTTCTTCAGGCCGTTTTATTTTTTTAAGTTTCCTACTGTGGCTACCACCCCTCCCGACTTCCGCCTCATCCTCTGCCCCCCCCAGTAACCCTGTTTTTTTGGGGGGGTGTCTCCTCCACACAGCCACGTGCTCCTGGGGAGGGGACTCCAGGGCCACCTGTGCTACCAGTGCGTCTGCTGGTCTCTGGTCTAAGCCCGCAGATCTCAGCCTGCTGCCCGTTGGCACCTCCTAGGAGCGTGTGAAAGGTATGCCAACCGCTGCTTGACAGATGACGGCTGTCCCTCTGGGGCAGGGTCCTGGCCCTGGCATATTTACAGAGCTCATCTGAGGGCTTCTGAGAAAAGCGTATTCACTTTTGGGGGGGCCACAGCAAGTATCTGAAGCCCCAGACCTTCAGGGCCCCTGCCCTTCTCACGTGAGAGGACATACCTGTCACTACAGAGCCACCTCAAGTTGCGTTTGTTGTTAGCCACCCACGGGTCTTAGTTCTCAGGTCCTCAGCCCCCAAGAGCTTTTGCTATTAATAAGTTCCAGCTAAAATTCTCCAGAAGGACATTTATAAAAAAAGTCTTTGCTTTTTATACTATTAAAAAACCGCAAAAAAACCCCACCTTCCGTGGCAGCTTGTCTGGTTTCACGGCCTGTCGTTTACTAAATGCCTCATTGGTTTCCCACCTCAGATGCCGGGGGCTAACAACAGCGAACACACACCGACCCAGCCGCAGCCATCCACGTGCTTTAGATGCATCGCTGCTCCCTCCCTCCCGAAAGCAGGTCCATCTGCAGCAGGTCCGATTTACAGACCAAGAGAGTGAGGCCCAAAGAGGTCACTGAGCCACAGCCTTTGTCCTCCAGGCAGCCAGAGACTCAGCAGGCATCAGCTTCAGTTCCAGGATTCCAGGCAGGGGCAGGGCTTGGTTACTAGTAGGAGCAGGGACAAGCCTCTCACCCTGGCCCGGGTTCCAGGAAGCACATGCCTACGCTGGGTGTCAAAGGATGTCGGACCAACCAGGAGACAGGGAGGAAGGCCGGAACAGGGGGGTTTTAGGGGGTCCAGTGACTGAGAGAGGCCAGAGGGAGTGTGTGTACAGTGGGGGATACTCAGCGGGCCCAGGCTGTCCACACCCTTCACATCCCACACACAGGACTGGCCCTTGATGGATCCTGGGAGGGAAGCTCCGAGTCCTTGGAGTGTCCTGCCTGACAGAAAGTGTCTTTAAGGTGAGACCCTGGGCCATGTGGTATGTCAGCTTGACCCTCTGGAGGGGCTGAAGACTCAGTGAAAAATGTGCCTGACTTTCAATAAAAGCCTCGTGGGTGACAGCCTGTACATGGTCACACATCGCTGCTGGGAGACTGGGCGCTGTCTGTGTGACCCCGTTGGAAGAGACAATGGACGCTGGCGCCTGGCCTCTGCTGGATTCTGCCCTGGCCGATTTTAATCTCTATCCGTTCACTGTACCCAAGAGTCCGACAGCTGTGTTGAGTTCTGTGAGCCCTTCTGGTGAATCAGTGACTCTGAGGGTGGCTGTGGGGACCCCTGACCAGTGTGCTGTGTGATACAGGGGGAGGAGCTGGCAGAGCCACGAATGCCATGCCATCGGCCCAGACATATGTGTGGGGATGCACTGAAGAGGCTGGAGGTGGATGGCGGGGGGCATCTGGGTGATGGCCTAGGCCAAGAGCCCAAGGTCCAAGCCAGACAGAACTCTGGACACAGCAGAGAGAGAACCCCAATTTGGGAAATGTACACGTTTGCACCGAGATAAAACAAAGCGATGGTCTGCAGGGCCCGTCCCAGTTCACAAAACCACCGACAAGTAGAACCGGAATTTCTCACAAGTGCAGCTGAACAACACACACCGCCATGAGCTCTGACACAGGCTCTCCTGCTTTCACCAAAGCGGCGCGCTGTCCCACGAGAGAAACTGATGGTGCTGGGGGAAGCAGGAGGAACAGAAACTGAAGTGTGCTTTCCTAGAAAAAGTGGAGCGCGTGCCTGGGCGAGCGTTCGGCTGGACAGCCACGGCCGAGGCCATCTGCAGCTCACCCACGAGGAATCCGAGGCCCAGGGGAGGAGCTGTCCCAAAGCCCCACATTCGCCCAAGGGTTTCAGACCACATCTGCCTGCCTCCCCAGCCCAGGGAAGTCAGAGGAAAGACCCGCCCGGATTCTGACCTACACACGCAACCCGTCCCGGGGGGAGCGCCTGGGTTCTCCTGCTGTCATTCTCCAGCTTCGCCCAGGTCCATTGGCCATTCCAAGTCCTCACTTTAGTATCTACTCTGTACATAGTAACAACAGAGAGGAAAAAGGCCCATCTTCCACGGTGCAGTCTGAGAGTAAACAAATTCTTTGCAGTACAACGTTCAACAAATACTTCCGAGTACCTGCTATGTACAGGCGCTGTTCAAGGCCTGGAAATACAGCTGTGAACAAGACAGAGAAGACCCTGTTCTCACGGAGCTTATGTTCGGGAGGAAGGAAAACAACAAATGCTCAAATAAATCACACATCATAATGTAAGAGGCTAAGGAACAAAAGAGAAAGTAGGGCAGCAGACTTCTGGTCAGGATAGAGACACCTTCGCCTCCCTGTGCAACCACAGAAAGAATTACAACCAAATATCAAAACAAATAACACCTAGAACTGTCAGAAAATCAATCTGTATGGAAGTCTGACAAGCAGGGACTTAATGAAGCCAGATTCATCCGGACGGAGAGCAGGGTTTGAGTCTCAGAGACGGGAGGAGACTCGGTGTGGCACGAAGAGGTGATGGCAGAACAGATGGTCCCACATTCATGTGTGGTGGATAAAGATCACAGGGGACAAGTTGGGAGTGAGTGGACCCAGCCCCAGGCCAACAGCACCAGGAAGATAAATTCCTATTACCTTGGGGAGGAGGAAGAAAATGCTGGATTTTTGCCGCTTAAAGGGCCCAGGCAGACTTAGAACATATGCAAGCCCACCCACTGTGGGTGTTTCACCCCTAGGGCAGGGCAGCAGCTGTAAGGGTGCCAGGCACACACGGGAAGTGGATAAAATGAATGGAAACAGGGTAAGTGCTGGGCAGACCTCCAAAGAGCCAGTCAATGGCACTGTCCCCTCTCTGGGCCCTACCCCCACAGAGCCACAAAGCTATGAAGTGGTTGCCCCGCCCTGGAAATTACCTAAGGCTCTGCCCCACACAATTCACAGGTGCCTTTTCTACAACAGGCCACACTACTAAGACGGAGTAGAAGCAGCTCTACCCAATACATAGAAACAAACACGGGGAAGCTGCCAAACTGAGGAAACAAAGAAATACGGCCCAAATGAAAGAACAGAACAAAACCCCAGAAAAAAAAACAAAAAAACCTAAATGAAATGGAGATAGCCAACCTATCAAGGGGCAGAGTCCAAAACTCTGGTGATCAGGATAATCAGAGAACTTACTGAGTACGACAAAAATATAAGGAAAGAAATGAAGGTTACTTTAAGTGAAATAAAGAAAAATCCACAGGGAACCAACAGAGAAGGGAAGGAGG